CCCTGCATGTCTGGAGTGAGGGGGAGGATGAGCAGAGCATGAAGGTCAGCAACTAAAGCCACCTAAAATAGATTTGATAGGGAGTCCTGAGTTGGAATAAGACAACTAGAATGGGACATGTTGGATTTCAGATGTCTCTTCCCTATGCACAGCCCCAGTCTTTGTCACAGTGAATGCAGGTACCTGGTGTCCTTATCTGTGTCACCTGACAGCTGAGTCACCTTGGCATCTTGCTGCCCCTAAAACAGCAGTTGCTGTGCTGCGTGGCCAGCACTGCTTTGTGGCTGATTTGGGTCTCTTCCAGTAGCAGGTTTGTCTCCCAGCAGGGTGAGATGAAGCCACGGAGTGGATGGAAGAGGATTGTTCAGCTGTCCTGCACCTTAGGACTGGGAGAGTGTCCTTTGTACTCATGGAGGAGAGTCTCCACAGCCCCTTAAACTTGCTTTTTGTTGACAACCTGGAAGTTTCACAGTGCTTTAAAAGTGCTGCTAAAGTGTCCTGATTGCTCCCTTGGGCTGCCTCAGGAGCACAGGCAGCAGAGTCCCAAGGCTTCAGAAGCTTGATTTGTTCACAGTAGGTGCAGAAAACAGTGGCATGACCTGATGCTGAAGCATGGAATTGGCTCATGGGATGCAGAAGCTGTTCTTAAGGTGCCATAAAGCTGCTTTCAGGGAACCCTCCCTGCTGGAGGTTGTTTTGCTGAGCCTTGGCATGTGCTGGGTGGTTCTGAGCAAAACCCTCAAGAGAACAAACAGTATTTCAAGGCCAAGTTATGTAATGCTCTTCTGCAGTGATGATCAGCATGGGATGGCCAGGGAGAACCCCAGGAAAGGGCACAGATCTCTGCCTTCCCCTTGCCCTGAGCACAGCTGGAAGGGAGAGCAGCCCCTGGCTGGGGCTGCAGGCAGAGCCCTGCCCTGATCCACTCTAACCACACACTCCCCAACCCTTGGGATCTCTCTGCTGTCTCACTCTTCGATTTTGGAAAGCCTCAAGGGCAATGATCATCTCTAACTGAACTGTTTACAGCCTAATCCAGCTTGTTTTGGACATTATGGATGAGTCCTCTGTCAAATGAAGGCCAAGAGCAATGAAGGAAACTATGAGAATTCAAGAATAAGCAAAAAAGCAAAAGGAAAAACAAAGTTCTTTAGTTTTGACACCTTAAAATAGAGACATCAAAGGGGAAATCTGATTGAAAGTGTCAGTGTTTGGTGAAGTCTGTACTTGCTCAATGTTATGAATGTAAAAGAGAACAGTTAAAATTATTTAGGGAATTGGGAAATATTTTGAACTTTGGAAGTTGATTTAAGCTGTATAAATATGTCTCAATTTCATGAGCTGCATTAGGGAACTATTACTGTCAGAACTTGCAGAGCAACAAATTTGAGCATTAACAGTTCTGAAAATGTCAACACTTTTCATTCCTATTTACACAGGGAAAATCTGCTTCCCAGCACTGTTTATTCCACAACTGGGCAGTGGGGCAGGGAAGGTATCTTCTTTTTGAATCAGTTTGTGCCAAGCTGAGATTGAGACCAAAATAATAATTTCCTCCTTTTGATTTAGAGTAAAAAGGGTTGGACAAGCCTGAGAAGTGCCAGTTCTCAGGATTTGGGACATGTGTTTGGTTGGATGTTGTGTGCTCAATTTCTTCTTAGTGAGTCCCTTTTTCTAAGAGCAAAACAGTTTTTACTGTGCTGAACCTTTCCTGTGTCTGCAGCACCCTTGGATCACAGAATCATAGTCATGGGCAGGTTTGGATTGGGAGGGACCTTAAACTCATCTCATTCCACCCTTTGCCCTGGGCAGGGACACCTTCCACTAGCCCAGGTTGCTCCAAGCCCCATCCAACCTGGCCTGGAACACTCCCAGGGATGGAGCAGCCACAGCTGCTCTGGGCAACCTGTGCCAGTGTCTCAGCACCTCACAGGGAAGAATTCCTTCCCAATATCTCATCTAACCCTCCCCTCCTGCTGTTTAAAGCCATTCCCTCTTGTCCTGTGCCTCCAGGCCTTTGTCCCAAGTCCCTCTCCAAGACACTTGCAATTGCACACGAGCTGCACCTACAACATACTGTAGTTCCTAATTCCTGTCCAGTTGTAGCATTGAACTATTAATTTCATAGAATGTCATAGTATCACAGT